TCTGTAACAAAGACATTTATAAACAACCAAGTATCAGTGCGATTGGTCACGGTGTGGGGACAAGCCTGTCCAAGCAGGTCCTACAGGAAGCATTTCAACTCTCAAAGACAAGAGGAACTATTTAATACTAAACCTATAAATATAGGCACATAGATCTATTTCTAATTACTTTAAAGTGATCATTTTTTTTCTTAAGCGACTTTTGGATCTGGAGAAGGGATCTGTAACAAAGACATTTATAAACAACCAAGTATCAGTGTGATTGGTCACGGTGTGGGGACAAGCCTGTCCAAGCAGGTCCTACAGGAAGCATTTCAACTCTCAAAGACAAGAGGAACTATTTCTGTGCCCTTCATAGGCCCATGACTCCACCTTCCAGGGCGCCCCTCGGTTCCTGTTAGTCCAGTTGCTCTAGGCTGCCTAGTAAACTTTGCTTCCCTTCTCTACACCTTCCCACAGCCCTCCTACACACTGTTTCTTCAGGCCTCCAACTTGCCAAACGGATTCACCCTGTAAATTCCAGCTACAATGACCTCAGGGAAGTCTTTCCTAGAAACCCTGAGCACTCCCAATTTGCCTTCATAACATTTACCATCATTGGAACATAATTACTTATGAAATGCATCTCTCAGTTCTCTCCCTTGTAAGACTACAAATTCCACAAGTCCAGGCATGTGTGGGCCTTGTCTACCCCCATCTCTGTGCCTGCCATCTGGTATACAGTATATGCTTTTTAGAACAATAATTTTTCAGTAAATGAACAAATGGGGAATCATAGAGGAATAATGAGAAAGAGGCAGTGCATGAAAGAAGGGACAAAGAGAGAAAGAACAGAAGTCATCCAAAGAGAATAGGAGAATACTATAGCAAGGTATAGTGAGAAAAAAAATTAGATGGTGCCAGGCTATCAGAAAGAACAGGGTCAAGCCCAGGGACAAGGGAACAGCAAGTGATCTAAAATCGATGGCGAGGCAGGTGTAGGAGGCCTGGTAGGGCTTGATCAAGGGCAATGTAACTGAGAGGAATTACTGAAACCCAAATGAAGGCTGAACATGATAGTGGG